AAGCCGTAAGAAGCAACGGTCATAACATATCCTCGGAGTTCTGTGAGAGCAAGAGTAGTATAAATTTGATAGATTGTTCCGTAATTTGACAGAGGCTGATCGCAGGTGATCAATTGAGTTGCCTAATCAAACACATAGACATGTATTACCTTCAATCTAGGTAATGTAAATGTAATTAGCCTGTAATCTTTACTTACCTTCTGTTCCTCCAGCAGAGTGAGAAATACACTGTCTCTGATGTGCGCTGTCCTGAGAGGAACGATTAATCGATGGATCTGTTCCAGGAGATCCTGGAGTCCACCCTGTTGCGGTCCAGTAGCTACATCAATGAATCCGCCTATTGTGTCATTATTGAACTTCTGCATCTGTTTTGTATAGCTGAGGAAGTTCTCCCACATGTCGTCAATTCTCACAATCATTTTGTGGAGTTCAAGGAAAGACGCATCTAGCTTCTGAACAAGTGTTATCCTTTCGACTAGAGATTCAACTATTTGATCTAGTTTTATGTCTAGTCGCACTTCTAGGGCATCCACTTTCTTAGTTATTGCAGTTACTTCCGTTAGGATCTGGCCTATCAATTTCTCAGTTTGATCCGGATTGATCAGGCCCTCGATGACATCGTAGCCTGATTTTATTTTTCCACCAAGTTCAAAGGCAAATTTTGTAAATTTCCAAAGGTCACCCAAACTTGGTAATCCAAAGGGTTCCACTTGCACCACCGAAATAATTAATATCATTCGAAACAACAGCATTATTATGAGTTTATAATTTCCACACGCGGAATCATGCCGTGAGAATCTTCGGATTCTCAATAGTAAAAATTGATAAACCGATGCCATTATTTATATAGAGCAAGTAGGTATAAATATTATTGACATGAAAGATTATCGCTATTTAACGATTGAATAAATATCTCAAAATTGACTTATTTCCATCTTGTATATAGGGAAGAATGATATAATCGTTACCTATGCATTTTTTATGAATATATATTCTATATAAATTCATTATCATTTCGTGCGAGAAATACTATTTTTCGACCGATATAGCAATAAATACTCGAGACACGATCGTAAAACTTTCCGGATTGCGAGGATTACTAGGATTACTAAACTCGGTTTGGCCTCAATGCACATTACCATATTTTAAAAAGTTCTCAATGATTAAAAACTACTTGATTCTAAGTAGCTGTTATTCAAAATGATTGCCCTGAACGAAGTTCGAGCCTATGAATATGCATCGCGATTCATTTTCAGAAAACATATGGGGCGATTTTTTATTTTATTTTGTTGATCATTGTACATAATCAATGAACAATTCAAAAATGGAGGAAGTTTAATCTATTCTTTTGCTAGCATCATTCGTGATCCGGTTATAAATATTGTAGCCTTCTTTAATTTTAGTCCCAACTTCACAGCCGAATTGAGCGACTTTCCATGACACACAGATTGGGCATGTTGACTGAAGCAACTTGCACTACCTGTAACCTCCAATATTACTGACCAAGACAATAACTTTTCATAAATCATGGAGGATAT